TTTCGAGTATCACGAAGAATGTATGTATATACTATTAGTATGTACTTTCAAGCGTTGAACCCGTGCTATGTTACTAAAAGGGAAACTAATTCAGAATTGAACCCTGGAGCTATGCCCTCATATTAACGCTGTCACTTTATGTAACATTAGTTTTAAATATGTTATCTATACTTAGCTTTTGTCTTGCAAAAGTTTACGTTTTAGTTATAAAAACTCAAGCTGTCTAGATACTGTCACTTTGCTATTTGGCCTTCATAAAAATGATTTGATATTTGAATTTATCGTTAGTAAGAAAGAAAGTTAAGGTAAGTTAAGTTTACTATATAAACATAGTTTAAGATAAGTTAAAGTTAAATAAGCCTTCTATACTTATCCTTTATCCAAAAAAGATTATTTGTCAGAAAATATGTAATATAAAAAATATGCAAGAGGATATTTTGTTCTTACACATTTTGCTACACCTTAAAATATAATATCCGCTACGGCTAAAGCTTTGGCATTGTAAATAAATTTACATAGTCTTTTACTTGCCAAATAAGACAATTCGTTTCATCACTACAAATACGTATTTCCGTTTAAAAGGGAAAGCGTACGTTTATGTAAGGGTGGTGAAGATCCAAATATATTACTGTCAGATGGCATATATTTAGGATTAGAACATGCATTTGGGTAAATTCACTAAAATTCTAATTTTCAGGGCAGTAAAATTTGAATAGAATAAATTACAAAAGATTGAAGATATACGTTTGTATGTACAAAGAATCTGCGAAACAATACACGCAGTAAAAAAAGAAAGTTCAGAAAGATATTGTAAAATGTAAAGAAGATTCGAGATTAGCGTTTATTACACAGCTGATGTGGTAGATTTCGTTAGAAATTCTTTTTAGGACGGCGTTCTTACCACAGCGAATTTACCAAATCGTAATAACTATATATTAACTCTGGCGATGGCAATGGAATCGGGCTAGGCATATCATCATCAACTACCGACGACATCACGATTAATTCTGAAAATAAATCCATTGAAACGTATAAAATCTAAAAAAAAAAACAAATTTATGAGGGTGCGATTTGGTCTACCCTCATTATCAACTTCCCATTCGGTGAAAACTCGTGATTTTTTTTAATAAATGCATGTACCTAAAATCTTCGAGATATATTAAAATTAGGACTTCGAAATTCCAAATAGGAAGTTAATAAAATTGTTGATGTACATGTAAAATAGGTGATATTTCTAAGAATTCTGAAAAAAAAAAATAAAAGCTTCTTTATGCTTTCCTATATTCCTTCGTTAGAGTATTTTGAATCTACATATATTGTTTTTACTTATTTACTAAGTTAATAAGTTTTTAGTAATATCCATATCCCACTGTATATTGTGGCATAATATTTATTTTAGAACATATAATAAGTTCAATATTTAACATCCATCGGATGTTTTACTTTACGACAAAGCATACCTAAGCTTACATAAAGCTGAATAGATATTTCTGTTCATTTAAATATGATGATTTTAACTATAGTAGGCATTTCATTCCTGAGCATTAATGCTCCAGTGAGTTCAGTAACATGTATTTATTATATATTGGAAATGCTCGTTAAAACGGACACGGTCGTTAAAAGCTTGTCTGATATAACAAAATTGTTGTTAAATTCACAAAAGTATTTTACGAGATATTTTTTGATAAATCTTTACCTCATAGGTTTTTCTAGTTCACTGGACGTTTAAATATTACATAGTAAAGTTTTGTTTAAAATACAAAACAAACTTTATTCAGTTTTCCTGCTGCTTTACTCTAAAACTATCGCCATAAAACTTCAGCCTAAAACACACACACACACACACACACACATATATATATATATATATATATATATATAATATATATATATATATATATATATATATATATATCAAGGATCTGTAATGTAAATGAGAAGGTTAATTGTCACTGATGCTCAAGAAAGAGTTTTAGATTATATTGAGTTTGATGAATTTATTTTTAATTTTTACCAGTAATTTATTTTAGGTTTGTTTCGAAACGCCAGTAAACCAGAAAACCTTTTACATTTTAAAATATATAAATTTACCTAAAATAATTTAAATAATAATAGTGTATAGATATAATATCTGTGATGAATGTATATATATACTCGTACTATTTATAAACGCCTCCATAAATTGAATACAAAATGTAACGACCTTTCATAAAGTGATTAGAAATATTCTTCCCCTTCTGTCTAGTTAATTACCCTTTTACAGTTACAACAGAAAACATTAGAAAATAAATAAAATAAAAAAAATCTTTATTTTTATAACTCAAAAAATAAAATTTCATTTGTAAACTGGATTTTTTAACTTCTATCTTTTAAAACTGACTACTTTTTTATCTGGCGAATATTTCTTACACCCCTTATAATATTATATTAGTATTCATTAACTGCTGATTATATATTGAGCAAAACTAACTAAACTAAACAGTGATTTAAAGAACCTAGGAGGCACCCCAGTAAAAGTTGTTCGTGATGATACAAAATTTGTCTTATTAAAAGCTTTATAATTATCATGTGATTCAGCCTTTAAAAGATTATAAACACTGTCCTGAGAATAGGAGAATGTAATGAGAAGTAAGAGGAAAAATTTTGCAGTTTTTTGATAGTCTGTACCTCTCTCTAGTTTCATAATCGTCGACATCTGCGCGGAAGCGTTACAAAACTTTAATGTTTATCATGAGTTCCGGTGAACAGGTCGGATTGATCATTAATTACATAACCTTAAAAATTACATATACAGAAAGTTATCATTATTTTTCATCACAGTCTATTTTTACACTCAGAAAACAGGTCTCGTTATAGACCGCCTCATAGGAGAATACATTTGCCATATTTGAGAGGCTTGGCAGGCAGTCGAAGTTTTCGTAATTTTGTGCTCTTATCAGGAATATACAGCTGCACATTTTCAGATATATTTCCCTTCGTCGCCTCTCACGCTGCATGGCGAATAACATTAGTTTATTAACACTAAAATGACTTAACTCGTTTACAACTGGACATATCAGTCACCATTCGTTTATTACCAATCATGATTGATGGAATTGATTGACGCATGCATGAGCGTGTAATGCACGCCTATGTCTCTATTGTAGCAAACATTTGCCCCAAATCAAATCAAATCAAAGTCTTTATTTGCATGAAACACAGTTGACAGGGTCTTGATTAATTATCTATAATGTATATGTGCTTAGTCTGCTCGCAGACGTGCAAATATTTAAAACAAAATATATATAAAGTGAAGCACATAAGTCATTTAACTAATTTTTCCATTCTAAATATTTTTTTAGGCTATAGAAACAATTTTCTAATAACCATTTCGTTAAATTATTTTTGAAAGAGGCTCTTTCTTTTTCTTTTAAATTCACTACACTACCCGTGTGTTATATAACATATGCTCATATTGTATACATTTTTCTTATACATATCTTTATTACAGGGAGGTTGATTTATTAAGTCTGCATATTTACTTTTTAAACGCCTCGTTGTGTATTTTGGCGGGTTTTAATATGTAGCAGGCAGGTTGGCGATCGCCACGCAAAATGTCTCGCATATTTGATGCTGCTTCTCATAGCATCTGTCTATATTGCCATTCGTCGAAAATCTCGAGGTCTTTTTAGCTTTTCCAATCAATCATTTTCAAGACAATCGCAGAATTAAAAATTGTGATGAATAGGTGTACTTTGACAAGGATGGGTGGGGTATCAAATCTAATATAATGGCGAGTGGGCTACCAAATCTAATATCTTGATCATGTACACATAGTGCAGACTGTGCGTTTCACGGAGTTGAAGAAAGCATTATCTTAATATCGTCACTATCGTAATTGGTATCACAGCTCTTACTGGCGTCGAAGGTTCCTGCATAGATGCCAATCTTAGAGAAGCCTTAACCGCCAACACAGGGCATATTAAATTAAAGTATCAGTGATACTTGTGTATACAGCCATCTATGGAAACTTTAAGATTTCCGACATTTCCATAGTCGCTTCTTGTTCATACCCACTGGGCGAATTAGGTGGATGTATGCATTTACTCTCTAAGGGTTGAGGGTTCTCCTATACCGCTATTACAAATTTCAATAATTTTAATTGGATTAAGTTGGAAAACTGCGTCTGATTTACCTATCCATAATTTCTTAATCACATCTTTTATTTCCATTTTTCTATTTTAAAACACAAAAAAACAAAAACTTAGTTTGTAATTTTATAAATGAATCTCTTTACGAGTTATGTTTTCCTTTGTGAGTTGATTATGATAGGCCATTTTGTTAACATGTCTGAAATTGTAACTTTAAATCACACTCAACTGTTTAACACTTACTATGAATTTAAAACCATGTTCATGTGATTAATATTCGTCACCCTTTTACTGTTCTCATTAAGCTACATTGCATTAATTATGTTAATTATTACGTAATTTTAGCAGGAACATCTGTTATGCGATAAAAAGTAAAGTTAAAAAAACATTTATCACGAGATTCCGTGTGTTAACGGCTCTTTTTTTGCACAAGAGCCGTGTCCAGTGGGCTGTTTATAGCCATGACGAAATAACATAAAATTTGAAGAAGGCTTTGAAAAAAATTAAAAATCATTTAAATTCATTTGAGTACGTCATCATTATACATTTTTGAGGGAAATTGAAGGAATGCCACAAAGCACGGCCTTGAGCTACCTGCATCTATGACCTCCTACAATCAGGTGATCACTTCGTCTAGTGTGAGACCATCCTACGTTCTGTTTACCAGTAAACAGCTGCAACAAGTTAGCAACAGTTACTCTACCTTTTCTTTCCAATTTAGTTTGTTTGTTGTAAATCCACTTTGCAAAAATTGAATTCTCAAAATCATTGGTCGGATCCTAAATTTATTGTTTAGTGATGTTTCAAATGACTAATGTTTAGCTGAAAATATTATTTAATTACTCATAAAAAGGAAAAAAAAAACCTTACCGTCAATATGAGAGGGGTACTTGTGTGCTGCGAAGCCTGTTGGCGCGGCAGGGGCGGTGTGAGAGTAGTGTGCAGGCGCGGTCGGTGCTCCGTAAGCGCTTGGTGGAGGCCCATACTCTATATGCGTGGTCGGTGGGGGCCCGTATACCGCTGTTACTGTAACCATATTTGCTATTGTTTAACCATACCGTAGTTTAGTATCCGAAAAAACTGACTATTGAACCTAACATCTCGGATCGAACCTAGGTTCAAGGTGGTAGGACTCTTATTCTGTCTTGTGTTCTGTCCGGATAGGTACCACGCTCTTATCTATTTCCGTCACCAAATAGCAGAGCTTCGGTCTGAATGGTATAGAGAGGTAGTAAAGGACTGCAGTGACCACTTATTTATTAGATGGACTGTATGTCTGTTTTTTGATTTATACATTATAGAACCTGCGTCGAGGCTGCCAATGTGTGGGTTGAGATGTGATTACACTCGTGTGTTTTTTTATTTTTTTGATTTAGGTATCTAATACAGCGTTTTAATTTTAATTTGCAATACAAAATAATATATACAACATGTAACAAAAACTCTGTGGTTCCCGTTAACTGCGTTATCAGAATGAGTATCCAAGCATATAGAAATAATTATTTTTCAAAAAAATACATTTAAAAAAAATTCATTTTGATGAAAAAAAATAATTTGCAAATTATATGTGGTTTTATCTCTGAATTGGCCAAGGAGTAAGAGGATCGTCAAAGACCCCGCAGACATTACCGATACTCGTGTGAGTTAGAGATAATAAAACCACATACAATTTGCAAATTAATTTTGTGTTTTGTGTGTGTGTGTGTGTGTGTGTGTGTGTGTGTGTGTGTGTGTGTGTGTGTGTACGTGCAAGTGTGTGTTTGTGTTGTGATTATGCCCTATTTAGGTTTACAACATTGCGTTTGATGCTGCTCTCGGATAGGTGGATAATATCCAAGTCAGCGTAATACTTGTTATAGTTTTGAATAATACGACATAATATAGAATTTTTTGCGTAATTTGTGTTTGCTCGAGGAACGTAAAATAATGGCATATGTCTAGTTCGGTATTTAGGTACTAGTAACGATATTTCAGATAGAAGATCTAGATCTATATTACCAGACCGTAAACCGTGTACCAAAAACATGTCGTGTTGAAGTCTTCTGAGTTCCAACGTATCTAAATATATGATTTTGTCTATAAAATGCTTGTGAGCCCTAAGGATTAAGATCGAATGTCTCGTTACGATAAAAAGGATCTCCTGTCTTCGTTAATCGCCATACGAAACTAAGCAGCTTTATGCTGCTTTCTTTTTTTCTCACTGGTATTCTGTGAGCGCATGATCCTTTCTCGTTCGATCCGAGCCAGTCGTGCTTCATAAAATAGCTGCAGCGTGGCTCCACCACGTATTCGAGGTTAATCATCATTGTTTGATCAATCAATTAAAAAGAAGTCAATTAAATTGTTTAATTAAATTGTAAATGCTGATGGAATAAATACAAGAAATTCCAAAAAGTTTTTAGAGCCTTTATATGTCCCACTCCCGGGCACAGGTCTCTTTTCATCGATCTGCCATCGAAATAATTATTTTTAAAAATTCTCAGACATGCAACCTGCATCCTTGCGATGTTTCCCTTCGTTACTGAGCACCTGGTAAATCAGCACTTAATGTTGCAAGTAAAAGTTTAATTGTTATAACATTGTTTTTAAAATAAGTCTCAGGTTTAAACAGGACTGCGTTTCAATAAAAACTTCCGTGGAAAATATGCGAACTAAAATGATTAATTTCAGCCATAATTGTAGCCGTGGCTAAGGGACTTCTTTCATGAGAAGAACTCTTTTCAAACCATAGTTCAGATACAGACTATCAATAAACGATTTTCAGTGAGTATGTAATAATTCGGCGAGTTTAGTGCCACCAATGTCAGTAGATTACCAATCGACCGGGTAATCTTGCTACAACCAATTGTTTCTGATCCAGATGATTTCCCAAAGGAAATTTATGCATGTAAAACGTCTCGAATTGTAAATAGAGTAGTGTTTTATTTAAAAAAATATAGAATGCTTTATCAGATGGATTTCAAAGGTTTTTACACCATTGTAGGTAATAAATTTCAATTGCAATGCCGTTATTAAATATATGTAATTCACGTGTCATATGCAAATGTGAATTCACTAACAAAGCGTATCCATTGTATTTGATTTTTATTGCTTCATTATTAACCCTATCATAAAATATTCCGTAATAGACAATATTATGCAATTTATTTTTATATATGTGAGATTTGATTTGAACATATCTGTAATTAACACGTGAGTTAGCGGAACAAGTATAAAACTTGCGTAAGTCTGAAGACACCTCTAATATTTTTATTAGTGCTTTTTGATATTTAAATGATTTTTAGTTCACGAACAAAAAAGGTTCCGAAACAAACAAGGTTAATCATACATGTAACGTCATGATGTATGACGACGATCGCGGAACGACTGCATGGCCTAGTATACCTGCCGAGCACCTTCGAATCCCAGCTGGACTTAACCTTAAAAGTGTCATATGCGTTAGAACGGGCACAGTTAGTTTACGACGAGTATGCATCTCTGAATTACCGCATACACCATAGTAATATTATATATTCTCTACTTTAAAAAAACATATCTAACGCAAAGAACTGACGCACCTGGAAGTCTATAGTTTGTGAATATGTTCAAGATTGCCCCCGTAATATAAAGATATTAGATTTCACAGACCCATAAATGCTTGCAAAAGAACATCGATTCCTGACAAGGATAATTAGTGAGGCTATTAAAATTCTATCGAAATAAAATGTTATTTAATTAATGTTGCATAAATTTTAAATTTCTTTACGTGGTATAGCCAGAATGCAGCTATATTATTATTTTTTTTTTAAATTGTTGTGACAGAAATGAGTCAGTCAGCTCGACCACGCTCTCACAGAATACCAGCGTGAAATAGCAGTTTAATGCTGCCATGTTTCTTATGGTGGGTGTAAAGAACCGAAGACTCAATTTACTGGAAACGAGGCATTCTATCTTAGTCCTCAGGGATGACAACGCATCTGCATTTTGATTACTTATCAAGGATAGATGTAGATACGGGCCACATCATTCATTTACCATCAGGTGGGCTGTGTGCTCGATTGTCACTCTATTTTATAAAAAAATAAGAGGATGTCTAAGTTTTAAAAGAAAAGTTACCCTAGGTTGGCTACCTGGGTAAGCTGATCTCTCAGTCAAGCGTTAAAATGAGTAAAAACGACTTACCAGTCGGCTTTTTGTGACTTAAGGCAGCGGAGCTAACGATTTTCTTTCCCAAGTTGCTGACGGCGTCTCCCTTTCCTGATATCACCTTTCCCAAGCTAGCCGCTAACGCGCCACCTCCCTTGATTAGCTGTCCCTTCAGGATTGTCACTCCACCGGTTATAGCTTTTACGGCTTGGAATAGCGTGTAAAGGATGGATTTCTTCAAGCCCCAGTAATCAACTTTCTCTTCATGCTGCAGATATTAAATATATGTTATAAAAGTTTAAGGAAGCGTTGAAATATTATGAAACTTTTAAAGCAAATAAAAAGCGTAGTGTCTAAAAGAAAATGATTCGCAACTATACAATATGTAAAAAGTAGTAAGTAAGTAAGCAGCCCCTGTGCAATCCGAAAGGGGCACGTAAAGGTTAGAGTACCAAAAAAAATTAAACATCTTAATATTATGAATGAATATGAAAATGATATTGTTATATCATACACATGTTTTTAATGCAATTTTCTCGATAGCTGTCTATCGCATTTATTGCCATGAGAGTATCATCATTTAATTAAACTTTACCTTTCTTTTAGTAGGGTAGTATTTTTTTTTGAAGAGTTACATGAATAAAATCATAACAAGATTCCTAAAACCCTCATGGATGGGACAGGGTTGTTTTTACATATTGAAATCGTATATTCATGTTGTATAATAAGTATTACTTTTAACAGTTTTAGCTTATACTTAGTTTTTAAACTGACGCCACTAGAAAAAAAAAGATACATCTACATTTTTTTTAAATAATGATATACATATTCGAAGCCGTTTAGATATAATACAATGTATAAGATAATAATAATATATAAGATAAGCGTGTTGGAAGAGGAATGATATTAAACAGGAGATTGACAGCAACGTCTGCCTGATAAAGACTCAAATAATAGAATCTGCGATTGCCAACCCAAGTGTAGCACCTATGTATATATACCTGTTACCGTTACCGTACAGTTATAGCCTATTAAAGTCTGCTGAACATAGGCCTCCCCCACAAATTGCCTCATTGGTGAGATATTTGCCATAATTGCCATGCTTGGCAAGCGGGTTCACAGCCGCAGTTTTTTATTTTCAGTCTTCATCTCCTGATTTGTTCCCCCCTGTCGTCTTTTACTTCATTTATTAGCTTAGCTTCATTTATTGTATACGATAATGATAAGTAGTGATGAATTTGTGATGTTACTTACAGGCTCATAAGAGTAACCGTGGTCATCACCATGGCCGGTCTTGCTTGACGCGGACGCTATAAAGGAAGTGGCTCCAGCGGACGCCTGTCCCAGCAGACCCAACTTGCTTTGGATGCCTGACGACGCTTTTGAAGCAACCGCAGTCAGTGCGGCTTGTGCTGACGATCGCTTTGTCCTGTTGATAGTATCGGTCTATTAGTTGACATAATGCTATCAAACATTTATTGCAAACGTTTATGATGTGAGTGCCGTGTTAGTGTAGTAATTGTAAGCGTGACTTGGGCTTTTGTCAAGAAATTGTCAGTAGCTGGGAGTCGGGAAGTCGGCGGTGTTTCGCCTATGTGCCTCGTAAAGCGCGTAAAGCCATGGTTTTTTTAATAGAATTGGGTGACAAACGGGCACACAATCCACCTGATGGTATGTGGATGCTGTGGCCCATAGAAATTTATATTTGTCCTCAACTAAGAATAAAATGCAGATGCGTTGTCACCAGTGAGGACTAAGATGGAATGCCGATATGAAGATAAATGTAGATGTCTATGGGCCACAGCATCCACTTACAATTAGGTGGACTGTGCGTTCGTTTGTCACCCTTATTTTATAAAAAAAATTCCGTGTAATCACTCCTGGTAGCTTAAAATTCTTGTGTTAGGAGTGGTTCACAACAGTAGTCGAATGACGGGTTCGAACTCACGACTTTTAAAGTTTGCGGTGCGCACACTAAGGCGGCTACGGTCTCTTCAATTTCGTCAAGGCCTCACCGACAAGTCGGTAAATAATAGTCACACGGATACAGTTGAACACCAGCGCTGCCTTCGCAGCATTATAATGAGTTGGAAACCTGTTTTGTATCACATTTTTCATTTGACTGTAATGCGGCATGACATACTTTTGGGCTGTCATGCATGCATGGTCGTTTTCTTACATGCTGGCGGTTGATTGATAATTCATAAATTTTTTATCCCGCAAGCTGCATTTTACATTAACGCTTGATGGTCTTTGGATTAGAATGTCATGCACCAGCTCATTGCCTTCCGAAACGGCGTCAACAATGAACGATGAACACGGACAGTGCACCCAAAACCACCGCGACTACTTAGGTGTTGACACTGGCACAGGCACAAGTAAATATGTATGGTGAACATTTTCGAAACTATAAACAATTCATATTACTATATAGTCCGTAGTTGAGTACCAAAAATGTAGTATTTCCTCAACAAAATGTTATTCACTGATGCGTATCAACCGTATCGTACCGAGTAGTGGCGGGCTAAGAATATGCACTACCACGTATCATCCTGTGGGTGTCGTAAGAGGCGACAGAGGGAAAAATTCAGGAGACGGGCAGCATTGTCTTTTTAATAACGCCAAAAATAAAAACTGCGGTTACCAACCTGCTTGCCAAGCTTGGGAAATATGGAAAATATCCCCCCTATTAGGCTAAAAAAAAGGTGCACTGACAGTGTCAATTAAAATTTTGACAATAATCCCACAAGGTTATTGTTTCTCATAGACCCCACATTGTTATGCAGACTGGTCTGAAATACAGAAGATGTTTGATGATATAGCAAGCATGTAATGGCGCATTACCGTTTAAGACGCCTGGAAAAGCATGACGTCTTAGGTCACACGGTATTCGTTACACTAATTGCAAAACACGACTAGACGAAGTGCTATCTCCAAATGTATTTATGAAAGATAGATTAGTTGTTTGGAAATCCATTGATTTAACAGATAATTGCTTAGAGGAAATTAAAAAAATACTTTGGTAAATGAAAAAATAAAAAAGAATTCTACTTTATTTTTTTTATTTTTTTAAGATTTTTGGCTTGGATGCTTGTCCTTAAAGCCATGTTTTTATTTTATTTGGAATATAAAAACCTTCTTTACAATATGCCGATGCGTCACATTGAAAATTTCTTGGGACATTTTGAGGCTAAACTCAACGGACGATGATGACGAACAAAACAATTTGATATTAAAATCGGAGCATTTGTTCCGTCGTTTCCAAATAGTTCACGTGCGCAGACTTAATACACAAAGTCGCATCACTTTAATGTATCAAAACCCGCTTCAAATCATTAAATGAACGTTAAAATAGCAGCAGAAATCCGCCAACATTCCATTTCCCGCCATAACCCGAATTCTACTTTGTTAACAATTAATCTACAAACTAAACAGATTTTCAGTAGAAACACATAATACTATAGCAGAACTGACTTTATGAATAATTTAACATTAAAAGCTGCCAAAAAAAAAAATGGGGGATACGATTCTGTCCGCCAACACTTATCTTTCTATTAGATGTCTATATCTCCACTCTTTATTGAAAACTTGACCTTTGAAAGATGACTTAATTAGCCGTGGACTCGAGATGGGCTGTAATGAAGATGACTATGATGATGATATAGCGTGTTGACGGACATTACATGGCCGATTGACTAAGTTCAAAAATAGCTGTGAATTAAGTTAATAATATTAAGTTTGTCGTGTGGTTATGCAAAGAGAAACCATCATTCGACGACTTAGGAAATTACTTAGGACTTAGGAATTTGACTTAGAAAATGATTTTGTGGACTTCAATACCTCTACCGGCTTCTGCTATGGTGATTTATCGAGTTTTGTAATAATCTTCTATATAAAATATCTTCCTGGATTTCTAGACTAGACTTTCGTACCCGGAACCACATGTTCAGCAGTCGCGCTTCCGACCACAAGACCAATGAAACAGTGAAGCGTATTTATGCCACATGCACAATCTCCTGTCTGACAACGAGATGCAATGCTGAAGGTTCTTGAAGTTTGGTATTGTATTTGGGCAAAAGATTTTCACTCGGCGTTAGAAAAAAATATTCACAGGGATGACATGTCACATAATTGGCAGTGGCAGACTCGGGAATTGGGGCGGTTCACCATTAGATCGTGTGACAACCCGGTAAGATGCTGGAAGTCAAAGTGAAGGACTGTGTAATGATGATGATAATTATATAAATATAGTAGTATAAGTTAAAACAGATACAGTAGTTTGGGTACCTGTTTACGAGTATATATGAGCGGTACTTTATGAAACCGTAAACTCATTACTTCCGGTAGCACCCAGAATTTATTTGCAATGATAATTGTACAGGATGACGATTTCATCAATTAATTTAGATAGTGATCATTGAACTGAATCAGTTCAGGAAGTAAAGTAACGTGACTGGACACGTGCCTCCCATAATTTCTGAGTGAGTTATGGAGCAACTAGTTCACTGTACTGCTTCAGTGCATATTATTTCTAGTAGTGTTTCAGTTGTCCTAAAATATTTTAATTCCTTATTTTAAGTCTTTATGATGTTTTTCTTTCATCGCCATGCACGTGGTAAATCAGTACCTACTAACATTTGCAATTAACAATTTTATTGATGTCGACGGGGATCCAACCCGGGCTGCTCACGGGTAGTGAATTTTTTTAATTTGCGCTTAGCCTTTGATCCCTGAACTACCACTTATCATGTACTTAACATAAAATAAAATACCTCATGATTTCTTCAGCTGCTAAGCCCTCGGCCAGAGCTTCCAGTTGCTGCGGCGTCATTCTGCTAATGGCTGCCATGTCAATGATGTCTAACGTCATAGGCGTCGGGCCGCGGGCTGGGGCAGCCATGGACGTGGCCATGCACAGCAAACATACCCAAACCTGAATGAGAAGGAAATACCGTTATAACCTTATAATTTCAATTTTGTTATTACAATAAAGAATAAGGAAAGTAACTGTTCCCGTACAACGTATTAAAGTTCACTGCCGAACATAGCCCCCCCCCCCCCCCGCAGACTAGCTCATAGGAAGGATATTTGCCATAGCCGCCACGCTTGGCAAGCGGGTTGGCAACCGCAGTCTGTTTATTTTTAGTCGTTATCAGGAAGACGCTGCTGCCCATCTCCTGATTTGGTTCCCTCTGTCGCCTCTGACGACACCCACGGGATGATATGTGGTGGTAGTACCTAGATATTGTTACACTGCCACTACACGGCAAATAAATAAAATAAAAAGTAAATAAATAAGATAAATTAAGGAAAATAATAAAAAATCCTGGCGTAATAGACTTCGTAATGAGAATATCCGCAGTAGACCCAGAGTGAGCAACATATTCCAACGGATCGGTCAGCTGGGGCAACGAGCCGAACATACACAATCAAATCGACAGACGACAGGAAGAAAGCTCCTAGAGCGACAGCCTCGCACGGGCTATAAACTCTAGCGTGGCATTCCACCAAATTGGGTGACAACCTGATAAGAGATGCAGGAACTCATCTATGCAGAATAATTAAAATTGGAGCAAAGTAAGCAAACGTTTAGAAGGTTTGATATATCCACTCCTATTTTTAAATATATATATATATATATATATATATATATATATATATATATATAACACTCACGCCTGTCACCCAGAGGGGTAGGCAGAGACTACGGACTTCCACTTCTATTTTAGAACTTAAAATTTTGTTTTTCAAAATTTTTACTACACGTATTTCAAAAAATACAATACGTATGTGTAGTAACTTTTAATTATTTATTAAATGTATTGACGGATTACGGAACGGATTTTGATGTGGTTTTTATCAATGAGCAGAATTATTCAAGAGGAAGTTTTATATTTACATACATATTCTAATAATAATAAAATAATTAGTCACTCCACACATTATCACCACACGGTATCTACATTGCACCCGGGTGAAGCCGGGGCAGGTCTCTAGTTAATTACTAAAATTAATTTTTGCGAATTATTTCTCGTTCTTACATACATAAACACTCACGTCTGTCACCCAGAGGGGTAGGCAGAGACTACAGACTTCCATTTGGCACGATCCTGACACACCTCTCTCGCCTCCTTCACATCCATACACCTACGCATACATGCTCGTCGGTTAAGGGTACTCCTAATTTGGCCCGTTTTCAATAAATCGCCAATTTGGTCGATAAATTTTCGCCTAGGACGTCCCTTTCCGACTCTGCCATTCACTTCCGCAACATAAATTTTCTTGTGTTCTCGTTCTTGTGTTAAATTTCCAAAAGTTCTAATTGTTACGGGAGGGACCCTTATTACTCGTAGCTTTTTATTTATTTATGTTTGGTCCAATCTACAAAGAAAGGTCTTACAGTTGAAATCCTGCATTTTTATATTTGTATTTGAATAAAATTTTGTAAATTGTCGAATCTCCAGCAGATAGAATTTCCAACCATCTTCGGTATTAAAATTAGGATGTATTTTTTGAATTTAATAGTCTCGCGTATTATTGATGTTCTTTTGCGAGGAATTGTGGTTTATCTAACGTGACGTAAAGGTGGGGTTGATTTTGAAAATGGTTATATATGGCAGACTTCCCGGAGGCTTTAGGATAAACGCAACAAGATCTCTAAATATTAGTTTATTAGTTTAAATTATGAACCTTTTCATAATAAAGTGTATACATACAGTAAGTAGTATGGTATTGAATAAAAATTATAATACGAATACCGATTATATGGCTTATCCGTTTTATTTTTTAATTCCCAACGTTTCTAATAATTAGTTGAAGGTAACCTTTGTTAACTATGACTTCAGGATGTCAAACATCTCATGCTCATGCCTGTTTGACCATGTGTATTGTAAAGTGTTCAAAGCGGAATAAAAAAATTGAATTAAATGTGATAAATTCGGGTTAATATAAGATATCATTGAGTAGTAAGCTACTAAGTACACGCATACGATAGTAAAAATTTGTTTTGTAATATCTTCGCGTCGAGTTCCGTTTTTAAAGTTACCACATAACATGCTATCTGTATAAAAATACGCTGTTGTCGCACAAGCCTTGGCAGTGAAAAGCGAAAGTTTTTACGCCAGCTGTCGCGGACGTCACCGCGCCCAGCGCCCGTTATTGGGGCTACAGAACTGGCGTTTTTATTTTCATTTTTTAAAACAAAGAATATTCTTTGTTTTAATTTTTTAGAACGATTTTTTAAAATCTGTTATTTATTCTGGAATACATATATTCTTTCTAAAAATAAAAACGCTTTTTGTGAAAAATACGTATAATAATTTTCGAGAATAGTCGTGTATACAACCGTTAGTTAATAATAGATCTAAGCTAAGTAAGGTTGTAAGTATAACATTCCTTATGTAAAAAAACTTAGAAAACAAAACAAAATTATAAGGTTACTTAAAGCTAATGTTACGAAATTATTTTACTGTGTACTAAAAGTTTGAATTACTAAATGCAAACATTTCCGCATACCATACCACAAATCTTAAAAAAAAACGTTTTCAAAATGGTTCTTCGATTTTACAAAGACTTGTCCAAGGGTCATTATTTAATAAATACATGTGTTTTTTGTATTAATTCTACGCAGACGAAGTCACGAGTAAAGTCTTGTACTTAATAAAACTATTTCACTGATTATCGGGTAAAATTTGGTTTTAAATTTTTTTAAACGTTTTGTGTTCTTTCCAACACTCATAGTCGTTGATGTGCAGGTCTACTATAACACTTGTTAAATTTAAATTTCATATATACAAATTAATATTTGTTTGTTTATATTTTATGCGCTGCCACACCGTTCATTAGACTGCGGTAAAACTTTGTCAACGTATTGCTTGCACTTTCGTGAAGGTTTAAGGCATTGTTGGACCCGGTAGGTGGCGCTGTTTAAGAATCCAGATATCACTCGTGCGAAGCTGGGCACATCGTTAGAAATCTACGACTACACAGCCCGAATAGACGCCTCATGCAAGGCAAACACTTTCTGTCAACACGTTAGACAAATACGTCTTACTTAAGAAAACGATCGCACGATCTACTTTAGTAGCGACCACTTCACTGACCCGTAAACATCTTGCATGTGACTCGTGAATTTTCGACAAAATAAAATGCAACAGACGCGCAACATGGTTCCCTGTACAATAAAATAGTACTGTACCAGTTAAACCATAATATTGGTACAAGTAAATATTATGCATGTTATCGTGAATGTTTACAGACTTATAGTATACGCGACATAGGAGTAAGCTGAATTTTTTTTAGTGAATGTACGTTAATCCATATTTGAATTATTTAATAATTAAATCAAATTATTCTAAACTTCTTAAAAAAATTCATAATAAAATTGATATAATTTTTAATAGACGGCACTCCGCTCTCTTAACTGCTAAAACGCCGTGTCAGGACAAGTAGGAAACGGAAGTGAACTTGTAATTTTAAATAACTGTTGCTATTTTATTTTTAATAGTATTCTATTATTAATTCATTATTGTAAAGAAAGCATGTTTTAATAAAAAATATTCTTTAAAACAAAAATTATAGGTGTTTTACTAAATGCGATACCTAATTAAATAAAACTTTTTGTTTTTTTATTTTGTACTAATTTAAAGTAGAATATAATTCTGGTACTCATTAAGTAGACTTGGTACCAAATTTATTAGTTACAGTTCCCATCACTATTTGCTTATTAGCAAGTATCGCAACCTTGATTTTAACCAATTAGCGTGCATTTCAACCCGCCTCCCCCGTACTGCTTACCTGAGACTTTTGACAGAAAAGTTTGGATGCAGAAGTACATACATTGGGTGTCTATTCGGGCTGTATATATATATATATATATATATATATATATATATATATATATATATATATATATATATATATATATATATATATATATATATATCGATGAATTTAATACGATGTGAGTGGGATTGCATTGTTTGTCAAGTATAAAATTTTCGAGGTTTAGACTAAACCGTATCTTCGTGTAGTGGTGGTGTATGATAATCAGCTAACACATATCCCATGGATGGCGTAAGATACGACAGAGGGAAATGAATTAGGAGATTAGCAGCAGGATATTCCTGATGATAGTTGAAAATAAGAAAGTACGTTTGGCAACCCGCTTACTAAGCGCGTCAATTACGCCTGTTAAGCAATCCATAGGGGGGAGGATGTTTACTGGTGTATCCTTAAATTCCTCTGTTGAGAATACACCCCCCCCCCCATAGACTACCTCATTGGGGGGATGTTTGCCATAGTTCACTAGGAAATTCATTCTTGGGACAATGAATACGCTACTACAATCATGTCTCAGAAAATATACAAGGTCTCTCTATCACCAAGCTTAAATATTTAATAAAACAAAAACTGTATAAAATGGGTTATTAAAATATAAATACATGGTTCATAATAACTCCTGGGAATAAGGTGGTCGCTTCCATGCTGCTTCTAAAATAAATTCTGTAAATAGTTTGTAACATTGTCATATTGTTAAATTAAAAAAAAATCCCGCTGAGTTTCTTGCCAGGACAGAGGTTTTCTCTGAACCAGTGGTAAAGTAAAAAATTACTTGCACTAAGAATAAAAACATATTCTATTCTACTTTAGTTGCCACACTTAGTTTTGACGAGACGCTGCTGCTCATCTCCTGATTTGTCTGGCGCCTCTTACGACCCCCAGGGGGTGATATGGGGTAGTACATATTCTTACACCGCCACTACAAGGGAGAGTACTTGTGATAAGCCAAAATAAAATGAATGAATGAATCTAGATGAATTAAAATTTGATTGTAACATACTGACAACTCTGGCTCTTGTACATGATTTTAAAATCATTGAAGCAAAAAGATCTTTCAATGATAGGTATGTTTTTATTTGCCTCGAAAGTCAT